TGCATCCTTTGGTTCATAATGTACTGTCCTCCTCTTGGTACATAAGACATTTTAGATGGGAAGCGATGTCTCAGATTCACAGATTTTTATATGATTAAGTAATTGTTGCATCTAACATTTTTAAAACTAACTTTTGGGGGCTGGGGATTTAGCTCAGCGGCACAGTGCCTGCCTTGCAAGTGCAAGGTTGTGAGTTCAATTTCCAGTACCAGAAAAAAAAAAAAAAAAAGACCAAAAAGAAAAAAGAATAAACCGAAGCCAGGTGTGATAGTGCACACCTGTAATCCGAGCACTCGGGAGGCTGAGGCAGGAGGATCATCTGAAGTTCGAGGGCAGATTAGGCTTAGTGAGTTCAAAGCCAGGCTGAACTACAAAGCAAAAGCCTATCTCAAAAAAAAAGGGAGGTAAGTCAAAGAATTTATATAATCTTATAGATATTAAAACTTTATAGAGTTATCAATTAAGTTAAATTTTAAAATATTACGGCTTATTTATTCAGTGACTTTGTCATTTATAATTGAATTAGCCATGTTTTTAGGAGTACAGAAAGCTGCATCAGGTGGTGGCGTTCTAAAAATGTTTTGGCTCTTCGGTCATATTCCTAATGGTAAGGAAGAAAAACAGCACTCCTAAGTACATCACACTTTGTTACAACAGCATTTTGACATATTTCCTACCCCCATATTTAAGTTTATCTTGACTACCTTGTAGATGAAGTACCTCCTAATGATATAAAACCTGGTTTTCTTACCTCTTTCCATAAACTGAGACCTATTATGGTAGGTACAGCCATGCTCAAAATAAGAGCCTAGAATGTGAAAGCAAAAAGGCTTATGAGTAAACATATTTTAGAGTACACTTTAGAGGAACTAGCCCTAACTCTATGACCAACTAAATATCCTCACAGCTATAAAAGTTTTAGACAGAGGGCTGGGATATAGCTCGGCAGCACAAGTGCCTGTCTGGCAAGTACAAGGTCTTAAGTTCAATTCCTGGTACTAAAAAACAAAGTTGCAGTCAGAGAAAGTGGAGTTGGGCTGGGAGTGACAGCACACGCCTGTAATCTTAGCACTTGGGAGGCTGAGACAGGAGGATCACCATGAGTTTGAGGCCAGCCTGGGCTACATAGTGAGTTCAAGACCAACCTGAACTATGTCGCCAGACCCTGTTATATGAAAAAAAAAGAAGAAGAACAAAGTGCAGTTAGTATGGAATCTAGTTTACAAAGTGAGATGAATGAATGAACGTTACTTAGTTTCAAACAAATTAAGCTGGACATAAAGGAAGATACACATATTTACTATATAAATTTGAGAGAGACCATTAAAAAATAGTGCTCATAGTAATCTTTGAAATAGTAAAACAATATGTGAAAATTTTGCCAGATATTTATGTTATGAAGAACTTACAGGGAATTCTGAACTTCTACATGAAAAGCTAACCAAACAACAAAAAAGACAATGACACAACAGAGGAAAAATAGCCAGTATATATGAATGTACTATGTAAGAAATTCTTCCAAGAATAAAACCAGTAAAACACAACATCATGATGACGATGATTTTTTTTTTTTTTTTTTGAGACAAGGTTTTGCTATGTAGTCTAGGCCGACCTCCAACTTGTGGCACCTGTCCTGCCTCAGCCCCCTACATGCTGGGATTGCAGGCGTGTGCCACCATGCTCAGCGATGTAATTATTATTAGACACATTCATCACTCTCCTGCCTAAACCTCTTTTTCCTATTGCCCCAAGTCTGCTGCAGACCTCAGGATCCACTAGTTTCTATCTCTTTCTCATCCCTCTATATTTAACCCAACTTCCAGTGATCTTTCTGCCTCAGGCTCCTGAGGGCCACCATGCCTGGCTCCAGTATTTCTTAAATGTTTTTTTATTTTATTTTATTTTATTTCTTCAGTACTGGGAATTGAACTCATGATCTCACACTTGCCAGGTAGGCTCTAGTGCTGCTGAGCTATATCCCTGGACCTCCAGTCTGATTTCTTGATCACCCTTATCTCACATTTTATGTGTCAATGAATCTAAATTGTTCCATGTTTTTTATTTCTTTTGATTATGTCATGTTCTTTGCCTGAGTCTATCTCTTCCTTCTACTCTTCTGTCTTTTACACTTGCCTTGTAACTCACCATTTTTCAAATTTCGGATTGGAGAGTCACATGTGATGGCATACACCTATAATCCTAGCTCTTGGAGGCCAAGGCAGAAGGGTTGCCATGAATTCAAGGCCAGCCTGGGCTACATAGTGAGTTCAAGACTACCCTGAACAGCAAGACCCGTCTCAAAAAAACGAAAACAAAACAACAACAAAAATAAATTTGACATTGGGAAATCTTCCTTGAATCCGTAAGAATACTCAGTCAAGCACCCCTCCTGTGTTCTGAAATTTTTGTTAGTGTTGGACAGCATTCTACCACTGAATTACACCTCTAGCCCTGAATTATTCTTACTGTCTTTTTTATGCTCAAGAGACTATAATATACTTGAGAAAACTTAGCATGGTTTTGTTTGATGATGCTTGGGACAGAACTCGGGGCTTCGTGCTAATCATGTTTTATTTATCTTTATTCTAAGCATACAAAAGTCAGCGTGAATGTTCTACTCACGTGGAAAACACAAAATAGTTCCAAAATTATAAAAGATAACATAAAAATTAAAGTCAGGGGCCGGGGATATAGCTCAGCAGCCTAAGCACTTGCCTGGCAAGGCTGAGGTCATGAATTCAATTCCCAGTATAAAAAACAAAAACATTAAAGTCAGGAATACTGGTGCATGCCTGTAGTCCCAACTTCTCAGATGGCTGAGGCAGGAGGATCACTTGAACCTAGGAATTTGGAGCCAGTCTAGGCAACTTGGCAAGACCCTGTCTCCTAAAAAATAGTCAGGTGTGGTGGTGCATGCCTGTAATCCCAGCACTTGGGAGACTGAGGCAGGAGGATTGCCGTGAGTTTGGGGCCAGCTTGGGCTACATAGTGAGTTCAAGGACAGCCTGGACTACATAGTAAGACCCTATCTCAAATAAATAAATATATATACATACATACCACCACATTACCTTAAAAATGCTAAAATAAATAAATGTAATTCCTTACATCTTTAAAAAAAATCAATTTAAAAAAGAATTTCTAATGGCCTCTCCTATATTGATTTGAAATTTTACACTTTAATTTTTAAGTTGCATAGATCAAAATGCATAAAAAATGTTTCTTGTGTGATCTGTTGTTCCATCTGTAAGTCATTATGTGATTTCTTCAGGCTATTGTAATTGTACTCACCATTTCCATTATTATCATTTGATTTTATATAAGTGAAAGTGAAACAAAATAACAATGGCTCACCAACAATATTGGGTGCACAGTTCTTAATCGAAGCCACTTGAAAAGTGTCATCCAAAGTTCAGGAGAACACACACCAAACGCTGCTAACATGCACACGTAAGGAGTCCAAATATACTTCAAGCTAGAAACAAGAGTCACATATAAGATACCCTATGACCATCGTTACGTCATTTTTTTAGTTCTTTCCTATTGTCTTCAAAAATAACACAACATTAAAAGAGGACGAAAACATTTGGCCTCTAATTTACAGCAAGAGGCTGTTATTCAGTCCTTAAATAATCAATTAGCCATGTGGGTGACCGAATGAGGATAAAAGCCTTCATACTGAGGGTACAGCAAAACTGTACTCTTGGAGGGAATATAACTTGTCCAACTTTCAGAAAGCAATCTGGCAGAATCTATAAAAATTTAAAATAAAATATACATGACATTTCTAGTTATCTAGCCAACGGACATATTAATATGTATACTAAGCTGCAAGAGTTTTAACTGCAGCATATTGTTTTAATAAAGCAAACCAGAAAAATCTTATCCTTCAATATTAATTAAATTCAATATTAATTATTCAATATTAATTAAATTATAAATACAACAACAAAATGAAAAACTTCACATACAGTATTCCTAGATTTTTACTTTTTGTTTTGTTAAATGCCAATACATGGTACTGAAAAAAACTAATACCTGGAAAGAAATTTTCACTGTTTTTAATTCATATATTTCTGTACTGTTGGAGTTTGTTATAATCTGATATATTACTTCCGAGATTTTTCTTTTTCTTTTTTTTTTTTAGTTTTTTTGAAACAGGGTCTCACTCTGTAGTTCAGGCTGGCTTTGAACACATGCCGATCCTCTTTCCTCAGCCTCCCAGGTGCTAGGGGAGATTAATTTTTTTAAAAGTATGGAGGACTTGTAAATTAGTGCTCTTAAGTGAAATAAATTAAAAATCCAGTTGTACATAAATTGAATTTGTACAAATGAAAGTACATTACGGTGTAGGCTGCAACAGAAACAGATGGAACGTGTATCCTTAGGAGACAATAAAAGGTGACACGGAAGGGAAGAGGCAAAGGCTAACTTTGTAACTGAGCCCCAGGAGAACAGCCAGACACCCATGACATGATCCTTGGTGCCACATTCACATGAGAGACAAGAATGTGAGGCGAGGGCATAAATGTGAACTGTTCGGTTTTATAAAACAGCAAACTAGGGAACAGAGAAAATAAAGAACTATGCGTTCACTTAATAAACACTGATCACGCATGGACCAAGATGCAGGACTAGAGAGGAAAGGAGAAAAGCAACATGGCTACCACACTCCAACAGTTCTTTACAAAACCAACACAGGAGAAGCACTGAGAAAGCAGCTGCAAAGGCGGGAGTGGTGGTGCACGCCTGTAATTCCAGCACTTGGGAGGCTGAGGCAGGAGGATCACCTCGAGTTCAAGACCAACCTGGGCTACATAGTGATTTTAAGGGCAGCTTGGACTAGTGAGACCTGTCTCAAAAAATATGAGAAAAGAAAAAAAAGGGAGGGGAGAGGAAGGGAGGGGAAGAGAAGAAAAGAGAAAAAAAGGAGAGAAAGAGCAAGAGACTAAGAAAATCTGTATAAAGTCTAGGGTACTATAGAGGGGAAGTAACTGAGGTAGCCCACTTTTAGACCACCTCTACCTATCTTAGACAGACACTATCTTATCTTAGACAGATACTATCTTTTCATAAATTCTCCCTACTCTTAAAAAAAAAGGAAATAACTAATTTGAGAAAATGTAGTTAATGAGAGTTCTTAAAAAATGGATCCTAATTCAGGCCCTGTAAGAAACAGAGGACACACAGTGCCTGCCTGGCAAGCACAAGGTCCTGAGTTCCTTTGTGGTACCAAAAAAAAAACCAACCAGAAATAGTGGACAGACAGAGTCTACCTGCTACTAAGACTGAGGAATCCCACTGGTTTCCTAAGCTCACCCAATATTCTATCTCTTTCTAACCTATTTCTGGACATAGCAACCTGTTCTTCCAGTCAGCCCAAATCACTATCAGTGCTGCTTTACAGTTCCTGGGGCCACCATTCACACTGAGTTACATGTACCCAAGGTCCCCCGGCCACCATATCTCTCCTGTCAGGTCAGTCCACTGATGCCAGAGCTACTCATTTCTCTGTAGCCTGTCCTTCCAGAGCAGTTCAGCACAACAGTAGCATTTCTACCTTCAGGTGCTCATCCCATTCACCCACATACCAGATGAATCTTTTTCAAACATCTCTGCAAGATTTCTATCAAAAAAATCTGCCAAGCATGGCAGTACACACCTGTAATCCCAGCATATGGGAGGCTGAGGCAGGAAGACTGCATGAGTTCTAAGCCAGCCTGGGCTACATAGCGAGCTCAAGGCCAGCCTGAACTATAAAGCAGGACCCTGTCCCAAAAAAAATCATTACAGTAGCCAAGAGCAGTGGCACACACCTATAGTCCTAACTGCTTGAGAAGCAGACACAGGAGGACCAGAGGTTTGAGGGCAGCCTTGGCAACCTACAGTAGCGAGACCGATGTCTTTTTTTTTTTTTGTCTTTTTGAGACATGGTTTCATTACGCAGTTCACACTGGCCTTGAGCTCACTTTGTAGCTCAGGCTGGTCTCAAACTCACAATGACCCTCCTGCCTCAGCCTCCTGAGTGCTGGGATTATAGATGTGTGCCACCAGGCCCAGCTCCTCGAGCCATTTCTTAAAAAAAAGCTACAAACTTCTGAAGATGGTAACATTTCCTTCTTTCATTTATTTATTTATTTTTGGTACTGGGAATCAAACTCAGGACCTTGCACTTGTCAAGCAAGGCACTGTGCCACTGACTCCAAATACTCATCCCCTGCCTCTCCATCAGCTCCCAGACACCAGGCCAGAGTGGAAGCAGGCCTCCGGCTCAGGGAGGTGCAGCCCCTCACACCCTGGCTACACCACCGGGGTAGGGGAGGCAGTGACTAGTCACTGTGCCTGCCTGACGATACACTTCTTGCCTGAGGCTGTGAGCATCATCAAAATACGTGAAGAAACACTTTGTGGATAAAGCTGTTGTGCTGAAGTACAACTTGGCAGTCATCCAGTTCAGCTCTTCGCAAAGGCAGAGGGCATATTCAATTAAATGCAATTGGAGAACAATACAAGATGAAGCCTGGGGGTAGAGCTCAGTGTACAGTGCTGCCCAATCTGCATGAGGCCCCGAGGTAGACCCCCTGCACCCCCCACACGTTCACACATGGGGGTGCTGGGACGAATTACAATTTAAGTAACTAATTAATAATATGTGAAGAGCCTCACATATAATCCTTCACTATATTTATTCCCATGTATTTTACTTATTGTGAATTAACCTGGGTCAGAGGGAAATCTGGTCATCTTTTTTTTTTTGGTATCAGGAACCGGATACTCACGACCTTGTGCTTGCCAGGCAGGCACTGTGCCACTGAGCTACATCCCCAATCAGAGATCTAGTCTTTCCCTGCACTTCCGAGACATAATCTCTTGCCTAATAAACAGTATCTTTGTTTTTGGCAGGGATGTAGCTCAGTGGCAGAGCGCTTGCTGCTTGGTGGAGTTCCTAGCAAACTTCCCTACAAAAAAGAGTATCTTTGTTTAACTGGGACAGCTGGGTCATGAGAGTTATGCTAACAATATAGCTTATGGGGAGGGCCTTAGCCCACACAAAACCAATTCAACCTGTGGAGCCACTGGAGGCTTAGGTCAACCACACGGGTGGTCAGACACTTAGAGGTCACTGTTATGGTTCATATTTCCCTATCTCCCGAGCCTCGTGCATGCACAGGTGGGCCCATCAGGGTGCCACAGCTGCATGTGCTGTTAGGAGGCAGCGCCTGGCAGGAAGAGGCGGGTGACGGGTGCATGACCGGGAAGGGTTCACCTCCCTTCTCTCTCCGCTTCCTGACCCCCATGACATGAGCAGCTCCCCCCACACTGCCAACCATGCCAACTGGAACTTCTGAAGCAGGAGCCAAGACTAACCTCTCCTCCTCTACACTATGGGTGTCAGGTATTCTACCCAATATTTCAATAAAAGCTGAATGCAAGGCACAGATGAGCTTCCCTAATTAACGGTACCCGGTGTACCTGCTGTTCCTGAGAGAAGCAGGCACTGTCCGCACCGACCCACGAGACAGGACCCTGTCCCTGTGCCTCTTCCTTGTGCTGACTGTAACTGCAATGAACCGTAACCACGACTGCAACCCCTCTCCTCGGCTCTGAGTCCTAGTGAGTCAGCAAACCTGAAAGGGTTTTGGGAAGCCCCAAACCCACACATGGTTTCAGAAGGAAGGGCGGCCTTGGGGACTCCCGAATGTTACATTTAATTGCTTAGACTGCAGCTTCTGGAGAAGAATGCTAGCATATAATTTCGTATCTATCACCACTGCTAAGACTGAATTATACAGAAACTAAAAGCTTCTGCTTTTCATAAAGTTCTGCATTTTTATAAAGTCTGTTAACAGGTTAGGGCAATTTTCTACAGACACAGGAATAAAGGAAGTTTGGAAACTAAAGACTTCAATAGTGTAAGCAAGGCATGGTGGTGCACACCTACGACCCTGCACACAGGAGGCGAGGAACGAGGACTGCAAATCTGTCACGCTTGGGCAATGCAGGCACGACTCAAGAAACAAGAAGGGCCAGGGACAGCTCCACCCTCAGTACTACAAAAATAAGAAAGAAGTGCAAGACATGTTCAAAGAAATCAAACTCTTGCCAGGCACGGTGGTCCATGGCTCTAATTCCAGCACTCGGGAAGCTGAGACAGGAGGATTGCTATGAGTTCAAGGCCAGCCTGGGCTACAGAGTGAGACGCTGCTTCAAAACACCAAAAAAAAAGAAAAAAGAAATCAAAGCCGGGCATGGTGGCACACGCCTGTAATCCCAGCACTCGGGAGGCTGAGGCAGGAGAATCTTTGTGAGTTCAAGGCCAGCCTGGGCTACAAAATGAGCTCAAGGCCAGCCTGAACTGCATAGAGAGACCCTGCCTCAAAAAGACAAAAACAAAAAAACAAAAAAAAAAAACCAGAAATCTAACTCTCCAAATAGCTATGACAATAACTTCTCTAAATATCAATACAGTCATGTGCTGCAAAATGATACTTTTGTCAATGATGGACCGCACATATGACAGTAGTGCCACAAAACTATATTGCCTAGTGAGGACGTGGTAGTCTTAGTTTTGTCCAGCACATCCTATGAAGTTTTGCACAGCAACCTTAATCACGCATTTCTTTCTTTTTTTTTTTCATCTTTTTACTGAGACAGGGTCTCGCTCTGCAGTTCAGGCTGGACTTGAGCTCACCTTGTAGCCCAGGATCATCTTGAACTCACAACGATCCTCCTGCCTCAGCCTCCCCGAGTGCTGGGATTACAGGCGTGCGCCACCACACCCAGCCTAATGCACTTCTTTTGTGAGAAGCAATACCAAGATTCAAACTCAGGACCCTGCACTTGCCAGGCAGGAGTCTGTGCCACTAGCTATATCCTCGGCCCTGCACTTCTTAGAAAGTATTCAGACATTAAGTGACATGTGACTACCCCAATACCAATTTGCCTTAACAAACTTTTTTCTGGGAGGGGGGGTTCCCCCCCGCCACCCCGTACCGGGAATCGAACTCACGACCTTGCACTTGCCAGGCAGGTGCTGTGCTGCTGAGCTATATCCCCAGCCCTGCCTTAACAAATTTAAGAAGGTTCACAGAACATTAAAATTATAAGGCACATAAAATGTAAACACCTATGTTATTGAGCATTACATGTGATCCCACTTGTGTTTTATTAAGGGTTCATTTTTCCATTTAAAAACAATAAAAGACATAAGGTGAAGGAAAGGATGAATGGGAAGCTAGACCTACCCCCGGCCTTCAATAAGGCCTACTGCGCTGTCCCACGGTGAGCTTCTGTGCTCCCAACAACGCGCCGCGCTCCCTCGCACTGCCTTCGGGCCCTTCCACCTGGAGCGCTCACCCTCTCTGCTCACTGAGTCCACTTCACTCAGCCTTCAGGCCTCAACTCAAGTATCTTTTCCCCGGAGAACCCTTCTGATCTCTTAGTCAACTTCTGTTTTTAAATATTCTCACAGCACCTTTAACCCCTCCTTTAATTACCAAACTAGAATTTTAATTTTTAATTAATTAATTAATTTTTGAGACAGTCTCCCTGTATAGTTCAGCTTGGCCTTGAACTCACTATGTAGCCCAAGCTGGCCCTGAACTTGGGGTGATCCTCTTGCCTCAGTCTCCTGTGTGCTGGGATTGCAGGTGTGCACCACCACGTCCAGCACTGTAACTATTTTTGTGTGATTAACATCTGTCAGCTCCATTACACCATACGTTACATGAGGTTAGAGGCTGTGTCCATTTTTGCTTATTGCTGTACCTTGAACACCTAGCATGGATCTTGGAAAACATTCAATAGCTTTTCAACAAATGAATGACAATTAAATGTCAGTTCAGTGTGCTATTAAAATCTTTGCAAACCCCCATTACAGTAAGAAAGAATAAAGGTTTTAAGTTTTTATAAAGTTTCACAAATATATTTTTTAACGTATCTACTTACTAACCATTAGAAAAGACAAACATAAAAACAAAGAAATCAAGTAAAGTACACTTACCCTTCTAAAACCATTGCAAGAGAACCCAATAAAATAGTGTGAATTACGTGATAAATAATTTCTGGCCTTTCTCCAATTCGTCCATCTTCAATAGTAACAGTTTCTTTCAGGGACTTTCCACTGCAGAGAAAAATGTGCTTTTTAATATCTGGAAATTAAATGCAGTACTTGAAAAACCAAAAACATGTGTTTATCATCTTTCAAGGCCATATTTAAAAATGTATTTTCTTCAAAACAAAAATACAGGTAGTTAGGGGCTGGAGATTTACCTCAGCGGCACAGCGCCTGCCTGGCAAGCACAAGGTCGTGAGTTCGATTCCCGGTACCAGGAAAAAAAAAAAAAATTACAGGTGGTCCTTGAAATTTGTAAATATATTCTGCTAGTCAAATATCCAGCATAAGATACATTATGTACAAGTACAAATTCCCTATGATGAATGTTATTATGTACCTAAAATGTACGAATGAAATAAAAATTAGAAAGACAAGAGACAGAAAGAGAGAGAAAGGAAGGAAGGAAGGAAGGAAGGA